GGTGACATATGGCAGCTACACTTGTGGTGATCAGAGCCTAACTGTAGAGTTGTCAAATCACTATGTTGTTTGTCTGAAACTAATATTATGCAATAACCATACTTCAATAAAAAATAAAGTAAGAGTTTTTTCATTGAAAACCAATAAACAAACAAAACTTTAGGCAAATATTTATCAGCTTTATTTGAAATCACCAAACACTAGAACCAACACAAATGTTCTTGAACTGAGAATAAGATAAATAATTGGTAATGACTGTACAGTGAAATACTACTCTGAAGGAAAAATATTCCACTCTGACACAGAAAGCAATACTAATTGAGTTTACACACTCAAAGAGTACTAATTCTATAATTATAGTTAAGTTCACACTCTTGAAAAGGCAAATTTATTGGGATGAAACAATTTATTGGTTGGCAGGGCAGCGGGTGGAAGAATGGGTTTGTCAGAAGAGGTTTGTACGAATTTTTGTAGGTGATAGTGCTTACTGGACATAAATTTGACAAAATCTTATAACCACTGGGATTGTGGATACTATTATATGGAAATTATACTTAATTATAAACTGATAAATATCACATGAAATAACAAGTAATACAGAAATGTGTGTGTTCAGTGAAATAACCAGCACAGCTCCCACAGGCTGTTTAATTGCCTCCAACCTGGGAAAGTGGGTTGAGGTGCTAGAAATGTTCTCTCAGGGGAAATTCCCAGAGAGCTCTGTGTCTCTATAATTCTCTCCACATCCCCATGCATTAGCCATTGAAATCCCAGTATGACTCCACATGCCGCCGTTGTAGAGAGACCAGTCTACATGCTGAACCCCTTTGGAGATCATTTACTCATTTGAATGTTAATATTTGCTACTGCACAGAGATCTTATCCCAGGATATGTTATGAGCCCCCAGTCATATTCAGAGGAAATTCCCCAAGATAAAAATTACATTGATTGACTTAAAAATGATAACTTCTTATGAAGGTGTCTTACAGACCCTCCCTTGTTTGTTATTTTCAGACACAGGTTGTGAATTATTAAAGAAGTAAACTTATCATCTTTATTTTACAAATAAGGAGGAGGTTAGTAATGCCTCTAAGGACACAGAAAGAATGCATGGTACGTGCAGAAATTGAACCGTGTTAATGTTTTAATGTTCTTTCTTCCATTTTCCTCTGCCTTAGAGACCTTGGAGCCTTATTATGACCATGTCCTGAGAGTAGTATTTATGCAGTATTCTACAGCTTTGATTCTGATTCAGATCCATATTCAGAATTGGCCCTTCCTGCTCTTCCAGCAGACAGGTAAGCATCCATATTCCCTACATGTTTTTTAAAGATTTTATTTATTTATTCATGAGAGACAGAGAGAGAGAGAGGCAGAGACACAGGCAGAGGGAGAAGCAGGCTCCATGCAGGGAGCTCGACGTGGGACTCAATCCTGGGCCTCCAGGATCACGCCCTGGGCTGAAGGCAACACTAAACCGCTGAGCCACTAGGGCTGCCCATCCCTATACATTTTTAATGAGAAATGTAATCCTTATAAAAGTGATGGGACAGCTTTACCTACTTTCAGCTCTTTGAGGACAGAAATAGATATTTCAAAGTTTTTCCAAAATACTGAGATTAGACTGGGGTATAAATGTTAAAATTTCCATCAGAAGGGAATTTACTGATACTTAAAGATCATCATCTTGCTTTTCTAAGGATAGGAACAAAAAGCCATGGATGATTCTCTAATTAATCTACTGGTGATTTCATCCTGTTCACTAAATGCCAGACTCTCATTAGATGTAAACAAACAAAAAAACTGCAAGAGTGAAATAATCCTTTTTACAAGATTTTATTTATTTATTTATTTATTTATTTATTTATTTATTTATTTATTTATTTATCATGAGAGAGTGGGAAAAGGAGCAAATGGAAAGGGAGAGAGAGAATCTCAAGTAGATTCTGTGCTCATGCTGACCATGGAGTCAACGGGGGCTCGATCTCACGACTCTGAGATCATGACCTGAGCGATTCATGAGTCAGAGGCTCATGAGGAGTCAGAGGCTCAACCAAAAGAGTCAACGTCAGGCTCCAAAATTATCTTTAAACTATAAAAATTCAAATATGGATTAACAAGATCCAAACGACATTTAAAATCTTCCCTTATAATCTCAAGCTTCATCATCTTCCCCGATAATCTCAATGAATTAAACTGTGAGTCTTGACTCCTTCCCAGGCGAGCTGCATAATTTTAGAGCATTACATAACTTCTCAAGTCCTCACACTCCACAGTGGTGAAGGAAGTATAGCAATACTCCCTACGGTATACACACACATATTAGCTTATAAAGCCTTTCTTATCACTTATAGAACATAGAATAAGCTCCAAGTGGACGTGTGTGTTAAGGTTGACAAGTGATGTCATCATGGGACAGGCTTGTACAGGGAAGTTACCAAACTTAGGAGAAAGATGTTAGTAGTTAGCAGAAAAGGCAAACCCTTCCGAAGCTTCAAATGCAAGTGAACAGATTTGCAGCACTGTTCCTATGGAAGAACAGATTCAAATTAAATGTTTTATTTTTTCTAAAGATTTTATTTATTTATTCATGAGACACACACACACACACATACACAGAGGCAGAGACTAGGCAGAGGGAGAAGCAAGCTCCCTGCGGGGAACCCATGCATGATTCAATCTCAGGACCCCGGGATCATGCCCTGAGCCAGAGGCAGATGCTTAACAACTGAGCACCCAGGCATCCTTCAGATGAAATATTTTATAACATGGGCTTGCCACCAATATAGATCTGCAGGCTGAAGGGAGCCCACCGACATGGAACTGTCAACCCTTGATCTCTGATTCTGCTGTGAGATGGCAGGCATGAGAGAAAGAGTAAGTTCTCCGGGGGGGGGGGGTTCTCATCCAGTTAATGTGTAGATTTCAAGGAAGAAATTAACCTAGAGAAGGCTTGCATGGACCTTTGGGGGCAGCTGATTGGTTGGGTGAAGTGAAAACAGACTAAGAAATCCCGGAGATCACAGACAACCTCCAAGGCCCTCAAGTGTGAGAAAAGGCACATTGAAGAGAGTCTTCAAGACTTTGTACATCACACACGTCCGAAGCCCTGCAAGACACTACCCATTTTTCCCAGGGCAACATAAAAACAATCATCCCATCCTAACAATAATATTGTAGCTCATCAGACTGTGCTAATCAACCAGATTTTATTGTTTTTTTTTAAGATTTTATTTATTTAATCATGAGAGACACACACACACAGAGATTGGCAGAGAAGAGGCACAGCCAAAGGGAAAAGCAGACTTCATGCAGGGAGCCCCATGCGGAACTTGATTCCCGGTCTCAAGGATCACGCCCTGGGTGGAAGGCGGTGCTAAACCACTCAGCCACCTGGGCTGCCCAATTTTATTGTTTTTTTAAGCATTATCTTATTTAATTCTCATAACAATACTATAATGTAGATCTCATTACTTATTTTTCTAGACATGGAAATAGGAGGTTCAGATAAGTTAGCTTAGGACTAATGATTCTTCATTAGTAAATGGTAGTAGAGCTGATATGTACTTCATCCTGGATCCCAAGCTCTACACCCAATATTGTGCCTTCCCCTCAGATGGCTGTCTTCCCCTGGTGGCTGTCCTGGCTCTTATTGTTCCAGTATCCCTTCACATCCACTCTGTATCTCTTGGATACTTTACTGGGAAACCCCAAACAATGAATTCGGACCAATGGCAACAATAAGCAATTTATTGAATTAACTTAAATTTGATTTAAATATAGTTTAGAAGATCAGTTTAGGAACCACTCAGCATGGATTCAGATATTGGCTTGGATCCCAAGCATGGCTTCTCAATTAATAGTCATTTGAAATATAAAAAATTATTCAACCTCTGTGCATCATAGTTTATTTTCCCCCTAGCTTTTTTTTTTTTTTTTGAGGATTTTAAGTCATCTTTACACCCAACATCTGGCTAAAACTCACAACCCCAAGAGGAGGTTCTACTGATTGAGCCAGCCAGGCACTTCTCGCACTTCATAATTTAAATGAATGTAATAAATCAAACTCATAATGTTCTTGAAATGATGTAATGAATATACAGATCTACTTGTACTTACAATAGGATTTTGTCCCAAGAAACCCATTGTACATTGAAAATATAAGATGAAATTTCACTTACTACATCAGACCTGCTGAACATCATAGCTTAGCCTCTCCTAATTAGCAACTTTCCAGCACTTAGCATTAGTGAACAGTTGGGCAAAAATCATCTCACACAAAGCCAACTTTATCATAAAGTGTTGAATACCTCATGAATTTGTTGAATACAGTACTGCAAGTGAAACACAGAATGACTTTGCTGGTACAGGATGGTTGTAAATGTATCAGCTGTTGACCCTCATGATCGCCTGGCTGACCTGGAGCTGAGGTTCACTGTCCCTGCCCAGCACCAGGAGAGACGACTGTACCAGCTATCACTAGCCCAGAAAAAGATCCACATCAAAAATTTGAAGCATGGTTTCTACTGCATGTGTATCACTTTTGCACTATGATAGAGTTGAACAATCTTTAAGTCAAATCATCGTTAAGTTGGGGACTGTCTGTACATCTATAGTGTTTACAGTATTTCCTGGCAAGTGAGCAACATGCCAGTATCTGCTTTTTCTAGGATTTGGAAAAGTGAATCACCAGCTGTATTCATTCTGGACAAGCTATCTTAATCAACTTATTTAATTTTTTCTATCTCACTTTACAAATTTATAACATTTTAGAAATGAGAAGATGCTCCATACTTCAGAGTCCACAGTTTATAAAACTATATGTAATTTTTGCGCTAACTTTTGTGGTCAAGCTAACGTTTTATCTGGAGAATCTTGAAATACAAGCTATCGCTCTGATAAATAACACATACTGTATATACACTTTTCAATGTAAGTTTCTTTATCACTCATTTCTTTCTTCTCATTAGCCACAGAGCATCTGTGGTCCTCAACATTGATGGGTAACAGGACAGAAGTGACACAGTTCATCCTGCTGGGACTAACCAATGACCCAGAACTGCAGGTTCCTCTCTTCATAATGTTCACCTTCATCTACCTCATCACTCTGGTTGGGAATTTGGGGATTACCGTGCTGATTCTCTTGGACTCCCGTCTCCACACTCCCATGTACTTTTTCCTCAGTAACCTGTCTCTGGCGGACTTTAGTTACTCTACAGCTGTCACACCCACAGTCATGGCTGGGTTACTTAGAGGAGACCAGGTCATCTCCTACAGTGCATGTGCTGCTCAGATGTTCGTTTTTGCTGTCTTTGCCACTGTGGAAAATTACCTCCTGGCCTCAATGGCCTATGACCGCTACGCAGCAGTGTGCAAACCCCTCCATTACACCACCACCATGACGACAGGTGTGTGTGTTCGTCTGGCCGTAGGCTGCTATGTCTGTGGTTTCCTGAATGCCTCTATCCACATTGGAGGCACATTTAGTCTCTCTTTCTGTATGAACAATGAAGTCCATCACTTTTTCTGTGATATCCCAGCAGTCATGGTTCTTTCTTGCTCTGATAGACACGTCAGTGAGCTGGCTCTTGTTTATGCAACCACTTTTAACATCATTTTTGCTCTCCTAGTTATCTTTGTATCCTACATATTCATATTTATCACCATCCTGAAGATGCACTCTTCTTCAGGATACCTAAAGGCTATATCCACCTGTGCTTCCCACCTCACTGCAGTGTCCATCTTCTACGGAGCAGTCATCTTCATGTACACACAGCCCAGCTCCAGCCATTCCATGGACACAGACAAAATGGCATCCGTGTTCTATACCATGGTCATCCCCATGCTGAACCCTGTGGTCTACAGCCTGAGAAACAAGGAGGTCAAGAATGCATTCATGAAAATTGTTTTAGAGTCAAAGTTGTCTTTAGGATTGTGATTTTTAACATTTTACAATGAATACTAATCCAGTTACATTAAGGCCAGAGTGCAAATAAATTCCTGAAGTGATATTCTAAGTTATTCAAATGTCTTTCATCCTGAAAGAAAGCAAACATTATGTGTAGAAAATAAACCTAAACAAGAATGGCTAAGATGTCTTGGGATTAATTGTCAAAAATTTTATTGAGGATATGCATTTATTCATTTATTTAACATGCATTTTTTTCTACCACATCAATGCAGAAACACTTAAAATAGGGGTGGAATTGGACCATGAACGGAAGTGCATGCAAGTGCCCATGAGGATACTTACACACTGGAGTAGGCAAATTCCCAATATTAAATAGAATGTTGCCAGTTTTTAATAATCATAATTTAAATATTTTAATTCATGTATTAGAATAGAAATTTATGTCCCATATTTGTCACCTCTTTAGTTGAATTTTGCTCTAAGAGTCCTAACTTCAGAATGAAAATAATATACTATCAAAGGTTGGGACACCTGGGTGGCTCAGTGGTTGAGCATCTGCCTTTGACTCAGGGCATGATCCCCATCCAGGGATCGAGTCCCACATCAGGCTCCCTGTGAGGAACCTGTTTCTCCCTCTGTCTATGTCTCTGCTTCTCTCTGTGTCTCTCAGGAATAAATAAATATAATCCTTAAAAATATGTATATACTATCAAATGAAAGTATCTAATTTGGGGGACTCATTTTATTGGGAGATACATACATATAGTATCCTATGTGAATTAATATTTCTGCCTTAACTGAAACATTACATAGAACTACCATGCTCATATTACAATATTCAAAAGGCAAAACACAGCTAGAGGGTGAGAAAAATGGAAGAAGACTAAAAGTATTTTTCAATTTCTTCAAATATTTTTACCAATTCTCACACTACTAAAAACTTCACCGAAAACCGATAATGTACATTTTGCTTCTAGAAATATGTTGGAATGATTAATGCTCGTATTTCATGTTTCCTTTGCTGATTTAAATTATTTCTTGGAAACTCCCTATTCTTTTTATCCTACTTCATTCACGTGATTTTCTTTCTATTTCTTCATGATCTAACAACTTTAAAGATGGTCCTGCCTAAGGGCATTTGTACTTGCTTTTCCTTGTATAGAACATTCTCTTACTCCATTAAGGTCATTGCTTAAATGTTACTCTATTAAAGAATGTTTTCCTGACCACCTTCATAAACTAGTCCCCTTTTACTCACCATGTACACTATTCTTCCACTCTGTGACATTCATCATACCTTTATAAATCCTCATCTCTTGTATACTTATTTGTCTTCTTGTCCTGATTCGGACCAATCAACTAGAATTTAAACTGTATGAAGGCAATGGATTATTTGTTTTGTTTACAACACAATTCTCAGTACATAAATGTCTGTTTCATAATAGATTCTCAATAAATGGATGAAGTATTTAAGCTTTGAGTACAACTGTATTGATATGCTAAATCTTTTAATTGTTGATAATTATTGTATATCACACACAACATAAACCACTTATGTATTTATTTTAATATAAACCTCTTAGATAGATGCATGGTGCATTTCAAGAAGCAAAAGCTGATTTTCTGCTTTGCTGAAATATTTTTATCTACATTTTCACTGAGTGCTTGCACTCCAATGTTTGGACACAGGGATTTCCTGGATCTCATAATCAAGTGAATCATCTGAAACAATCTCATAATTTTTACTCAGCAGTGATGTCTCATTAAATGGCAAGGAATACATCAAATAAATGCTAGTTAGTAATTATAAAAATACTTTAAATATGAGATTATTTAAGGGTTAGTATATGATTATGTTTGAAAATTACTTCTTATGTATGAAATATAATTAACTGAAGTAATTCTGAGTATCTATGTAGAATATAAACATGGCAATAATCTGTCACTAATAATGGAAATGCACATTCAATTTGCTAGTATAATGCACAACTTTTATGCTTTTAATTTTGATTCTCAGAGAGCTCTATCCTATACAAACCTACCTACAGGAATGAGTAACCTCATCTAATTTGTTATCTGTAGATAATAGAAGGCTTTTACTATTTCAATATTTGTCAGATTGCACTTGAATATGCAAATATTCTCATGCTGCTATTTGAGGGCAGTAGAATAACACAAATATTCCTCTTTTGCTTTTTATGGTGATGTTTCTCCTATTGCAAACATTTACAATTATTATTTTAAATAATTATTTAATCTTAGAACTATTTGAGAGTTATACAAAATTTTCAAAATAGTGCAGAATATACAATGTAAACCTGTGGCCATCTGGAAAATGGTCTGCAAAGAGATCTACATCCTAATTCGGAAGCTTCAAAGGTTACCTTATGTGGCCTAAAAAGACTATGCAGATGTGATTAATTTAAGGATTTTATCCCAGATTTTCTGGGTGGATCATAAAGGAAATTCCACATATATTTACAAGAGAGAGTTCAAGAGACGTGACCATAGATAAAAGAGGACTAGACAATGTGATCTTGAAAACAGACTGGAGCGATGTGACCACAAACCATGGGTGACAGCAGCCACAAGAAGATTGTGAGGCAAGAAATGGATTTTCCTTTAGATCCTATGGAGGGAAGATGGCTCCTTCGACACACTGTTCAGGAAAACTGTTTTTGGACTTCTGAATTCTAGACTGTGAAACAATGAATATGTATTGTTTAAGCTTCCAAGTTTCTGATTATTTGTAATAGCAACCATAGACAACTGATACAACTCTTGCCTGCTTTACTCTACAGAATAATCTTATATTACCTGGGACATCTATAAGACTAGGAAACCATATTGGCATCATATTATTTTCTAAACTTCAGGTTTTATTCAGATTTCATTATTATAATCATTTCCCTCATCTTGTATTTAGTTGTCATACCTCCTTAATCTTGGTCTGTGACAAGCTCTCTGTCTGTCCCTGTTTATGATGACCTTAACAGCTTCAAGGATTACTGGTCAGGTATCTCACAGAATGTCCTTCAGTAGTGGTTTGCTGATGTTTTCTCATAGTCTATTCTATTCTTTCAGATTTTCTACATAGACAACCATGTAACCTGTGAACAAAGATAGTTTTCATTTCTTCCTTCCCAAAGTTTCCATATTGTGCGATTCCATTCCTATAACACACAGTCGGAAAAACAAAAACAACAACAACAAAAAAAAAACAGAACAACAACAACAAAAAACACCAACAGTGCAAAAGGGTTCCCTTTTCTCCTTATCCTCTCCAACATTTGTGGTTTCCTGCCTTGTTAATTTTCCCCATTCTCACTGGTGTGAGGTGGTATCTCATTGTGGTTTTGATTTGTATTTCCCTGATGGCAAGTGATGCAGAGCATTTTCTCATGTGCATGTTGGCCATGTCTGCCTTCCTTTGTGAGATTTCTCTTCATGTCTTTTGCCCATTTCATGATTGGATTGTTTGTTTCTTTGGTGTTGAGTTTAATAAGTACTTTATAGATCTTGGAAACTAGCCCTTTATCTGATACGTCATTTGCAAATATCTTCTCCCATTCTGTAGGTTGTCTTTTAGTTTTGTGGACTGTATCCTTTGCTGTGCAAAAGCTTCGTATCTTGATGAAGTCCCAATAGTTCATTTTTGCTTTTGTTTCTTTTGCCTTTGTGGATGTATCTTGCAAGAAGTTACTGTGGCCGAATTCAAAAAGGGTGTTGCCTGTGTTCTTCTCTAAGATTTTGATGGATTCTTGTCTCACATTTAGATCTTTCATCCATTTTGAGTTTATCTTTGTGTATGGTGAAAGAGAGTGGTCCAGTTTCATTCTTCTGCATGTGGATGTCCAATTTTCCCAGCACCATTTATTGAAGAGACTGTCTTTTTTTCCAGTGGCTAGTGTTTCCTGTTTTGTCAAATATTAGTTGACCATAAAGTTGAGGGTCCACTTCTGGATTCTCTATTCTGTTCCATTAATCTATGTGAACTGGTGCAGCCACACTGGAAAACTGTGTGGAGGTTCCTCAAAGAGTTAAAAATAGATCTGCCCTAGACCCAGCAATTGCACTGCTGGGGATTTACCCCAAAGATACAGATGCAGTGAAACACCGGGACATCTGCACCCCGATGTTTATAGCAGCAATGCTCAAAATAGCCAAACTGTGGAAGGAGCCTCCATGTCCATCGAAAGATGAATGGATAAAGAAGATGTGGTCTATGTATACAATGGAATATTCCTCAGCCATTAGAAACGACAAATACCCACCATTTGCTTCAACGTGGATGGAACTGGAGGGTATTATGCTGAGTGAAGTAAGTCAATCGGAGAAGGACAAACATCATATGGTCTCATTCATTTGGGGAATATAAATAATAGTGAAAGGGAATAGAAGGGAAGGAAGAAGAAATGGGTAGGAAATATCAGAAAGGGAGACAGAACATAAAGACTCCTAACTCTGGGAAATGAACTAGGGGTGGTGGAAGGGGAGGAGGGCGGGGGTGGGGTGAATGGGTGACAGGCACTGAGGGGGGCACTTGATGGGATGAGCACTGGGTGTTATTCTGTATGTTGGTAAATTGAACACCAATAAAAAATAAATTTATTATTAAAAAAAACAAAAAACAAAACAACAATAACAGAAACCTCAGTGACTTCCAAGGTTTGGGGAAGTAGGAGTGGTTGTCTAAAAAGGAATAGAAATGGAAATTCTAAGATGATAATGTATTCTTTATGGTAACTTGCTGATGAACACATGACTCTGCATTTGTTAAAACCCATAGAACAATACGTAGCAAAGAGCAAAATTTAATATATATATAAATTGAAAGAATCAGCCAGGAGCAGAGAAGAATCCCAGGAGTGAACACAGACTATGAAAAAAATCTCGGGGCAGCCCGCGTGGCTCGGCGGTTTAGCGCCACCTTTGCCCGGGGGTGTGCTCCTGAAGACCCAGGATCGAGTCCCGTGTTGGGCTCCCTGCATGGAACCTGCTTCTCGCATTTCTCCCAACATTATCTA